TTACACCAGTGCTCAATCAGGGAGAGGTGTCTTTGAAGGTTTAAGGATGCTATATCAGGATCTGAGTAGGATGATAGTATGGCGGTGTCATCAGCAAAAGTTGCCGGGAAGGTATCGGGATGGACAGGGATATCGCCGGTAAAGAGGATGTAAAGGACGGGACCCAATACGCTACCTTGAGGAACACCTGCCTCAATTGAATAGCAATTCGATAATTCACTACCGCAACGAACTCGGAAGGTACGATCTGAGAGGTAGGAACGGAGGACAAGGTACAAGGACTCAGGAAGATAGGTTTTCAGCTTGGAAAGAAGCCCAGCGTGCCATACCCGGTCGAAAGCTTGAGCTATCTCCAGAAATGCACCCGAGCAATATTGCTTGCTTTCCAATGCTGCGGAAATATGATCGACCACTCGGAGACCTTGTTGGACTGTGGAGTGTTGTGAACGGAATCCGAACTGATGTAAAGGAAAATTTTGGGATTCTATAAAGGGTAGGATTCGTTTCTGGAGGATCTTTTCAAAGATTTTTGAGAGAATCGGAAGTAGGCTAATTGATCTGTAGGACGTTGAGGTATTGGGAGGTTTGCCTGGTTTCGGAAACAGGATAATAGTGGAATGTTTCCACAAGAGAGGAAAGTGGGTGGTTCTTAGGATGGCATTATATAAGTAGGTGAGAAATATAACAGCTTTAGGAGGAAGTTGTCGAAGGATTTGAGAGGTAAGGAGGTCGTATCCAGGAGATTTACGGAGAGGAAGTTTTTGTAAGTGATGTTTGACCTCAGAAGGATTAACTGCTTTAGGTGGCAAGGAAAGTGGAATGGGTGATGTAAGGAATTCTTCTACTGTTGTGGTATGGGTGAGGTTGGATTCCGGATGAGAGGTAAATGTTCTGGAGAGGTGTCTGGCGAATTCCTCAGCTTTATCTTCATCAGACGCTGCCCAGGAGCCATCGCTTCGACGGAGGGGATGGGAAATATGATGGGATTTTAGGATTTTGTTGGTGATCTTCCATAGAGAATTGTCATGAACAGGGAGGGAAGTAAGGTAGGAGTTGAAGGATTAGGATTCGAAGGTGGCCAATCCCTGCTTTAATTGTTTACTGTAAAAATTATAGGAGCAACGATCGATGGGGTGTCTAGTACGTTGCCATAATAATCTGGCGCTGCGTTTGGTGTAGATTAGGTCTATGAGGTGTTGAGGTAACTTATTTTTCTTGGGAGTTCTTGAGGAGTGGTTTGGAGAGGAAGCAGTCCAGATTGTTTGTTGGATAGTGGGGGTGAAAAGGTGTACGGCATTGTCAAGGTCATCTGGGGTTTTTAGGGTTATTCTGAGGTCAATTTTATCGGATAGGATTTGGTGAAAGAGTTTCCAGCTAACTGGGCCTCTGATGAAGGACGGTGGAGAAGACTTAGGAATAGGAGCAAGAGATAATTGGAGTAATAATGGACTATGATCTGAGGATAGTTCGGCAAGACGGTTAAGGGAATGATTAAGGGGACCTAAGCCACTGTGGATGAAAAAATCAAGGATATCGGGATTGCGGTTAGGATCTGTGGGCCAGTAGGTAGGTGACTTAGGAGGAAGGATACTGAACCGTTGGGAATTGAGTGCAGATAACAATGTTCTGCCACGAGAGTTCGTGGTTATAGAACCCCATTGATGGTGTTTGGCGTTTAAATCTCTACCCAGAATGAAATTATGACCTAAGGAGTTGAGGAGAGAACTGAACTGGACTTTAGATATGGATCTGTTAGGAGGGCAATATGCTGATGCAAGGGTGACTGGAAAGGAGAAGGTTTTGATTACAATAGCGGTTGACTGTAGGAAATCTTGAGTAGGTAATGGGAGTAAGTGATGGGAGAGGGATTGGTGTACGATGACAGCAGTACCGGCATGTGCTCTGCCGTCAGGATGGTCAGTACGGTATGTTAAATACTGTGGGATTTTCAAATGCTGTTTTATGGTCAGTCGTGTTTCTGTAATAAGGGCTACGTCAATGTTCTTGTGTTGTAGTAAAGCTGTTAGTTCGTCAACGTGATTCCTAACACCATTCGCATTCCAAAGGAGAATGGATGTGGGTTTTGGGAATTGAGTCATTAAGGATTTTTTAAAGGAGGAATTTGAGGTTGTTGATGATTATGTGTGTTAGGATGAACAGAATATTGAGGTTGGGGCTGAGGTAGTTGCTGCGGCAGGGCTTCACATGTATTATTGGGGTTCTTACCTCCAAGTAGTTCGGAGTATGATAAATTATTATTAACTATTCTAGAAGGTTCTCTTCTTGGCCTGGTTGTCTCATCTTTAATCCGGTTCTTCTGGTATCTGGATTTGAGGCTCTTATAGGTTTGGCAGCCTTTGTAGTTGGCCGGGTGTACCTCCTGGCATAGTGCACACACTGCAGGATCTTGTATTGGTTTGGTGCACTCCATAGATTTGTGCTGTTCACCGCATTTCACGCAACGCGGCAGATGGTGACAATAAGTTTTCGTGTGGCCATACGCCTGGCAATTGTGGCATTGCACAATTTCCTTCTTGGGGTATGGCTTCTCTATCTTCACTGTAGTACAATCTCTTGATGTCATATATTTTTTCAATACCAGGTGATGGCTCTAGATCCACGAAAAATAAAGGTAGTGGAACTTTATTACTTACTCTTGGCTGCTTCTTATTCTCCTTCAGAACGTTGGTTACCTGACGCACTTTGAAACCAAGCGTCGCTAGTTCTTCTTTTATCACTTCAGTTGGGGTTGAGGAGTGTAAATTTCTTACCACCATTCGTAGCGATCTCTCCTGTTTCAGCTGGTATGTGTGGAAATTTGCATTAGTTTCGGACAGGTACTTCACAATTTTTCGGTAGGTTTCTGCAGTATCTGGTGTTATTTTTGTATCGTTGGTCCTATTGAGGCAAGAATAACTGCCGGTGCAGATTTCGTTTAGTTGTGTACACAGTAGTTGAAAATTTTTGATATTTTTTACAAATATCGGAGGAGGCCTTGGTTCTCTGGGTACTGCTGCTGACTCCATTACTTCTCTGTCATTATGAAGCACTTTGAACGGGTTTGGAGTGAAGAAAGGAGATTCTTCAACCATTTCTTGCGAAGAGGTACCTGGTTGAGGCTGAGGTTCTGTACCTGCAGTTATCACTGTGGTTATTGGAGCAATTTCTCGCAGGCAGCGACGAGTTTTTTGTTTCACTGGTGAATCACGAGGACTACTAACGCCGTCTGACCGAGTCCTCTTAGTGGGCACCTTACTGGACATCACTTGCTGACTATGCTGCATATCGTAAGAGAAAAAAAATTAAAATTAAAATTAAAAAAAAAATTAAAAATTAAAAAAAAATGTAGCAAACAGTAAATAACAACTGCTCTAGTGTACACTTCAACTGTATTCCGTAAATAATCAAATAGATTCCGCTGAAAAATAGGCAAAAACTGAGAGAAGATTTCAGAACACGTCCTTCGCATCAGCTGATCCACTGCCTTGATTTGACTGATCTGGTTTATAGTTTACTTTCTTCTCATAAAGCCTGTCTGGTACTTCTCTATATTTGGAAGCATTTTTTTTATAAAGTATCCGAGAGAACACCTTACATATGGTAAGAGGGATATACCCCGATAATTACGACATTCAAGAATATCCCTCTTCTTTTAAATCGGACATATACCTAAGTGATTTCTACCATTCATAAGGAATCTCCTATATCTTCCATATGTACATTATTATTTGGCTTTCCTTTTTCTTTGTTTGTTATTTAATGCTAATTTACTGTGTTATATATGTACATTTCTACTCTATTCCCTTCTTCCATCTCTCCTATAATTAAAGGAAGCCTCTTATACATTTTTTTAAAAATTGTTGAGAGTTACATGCAAAATATTCATCGAGATGCATTTTTATGTCACTTTCGAATTTGTGACATTTTTCACAAAGAGGCCTTTTAAAGATAGAAACAAGTAATAATCGGATTGGGCATGGCCTGGGGAATACTAGGGATGAAGTAGAAAGTCCTTATCATTATTTGCACAGTTGTCGCATGTTGCGTTGGCTGACAGAAACTCTTACAGTTTGATTGGGACTTTATATATATATATCTATATATATATATATATATATATATATATATATATATATATATATATATAATGAATAGCCGAGCAAGCTGAGGCGCATTCAATATTTAAGCAAAACCACGCTGCCTGAAATCTATCACCTCTGGAAATGTGAGACCCATAAGACATCTCACACAGACCGGGTATAGGAATGAAAATCTAATCACTTAGAATACCATATTGTGGAAAACACTCAAAGTTGAATACGATACGACATTCTTGTTTTCAGCTTTACTTTCATATAAAGGATAATAAATTAATAAAATTTTTAGTGAAGGGTCCAGTGAAACAACGTGTAACCTCAACCAATGATAACTTTTTATTTTATTGAGAAATATTTCAATTTGTCACAGTTAAGGACACTTATAATAGAGTTCAGAGAGTACATTCATATCGTATATACAAAAATATAAATAAATAAAGTAATAACAAAACAATAAGAAAAAATAACAAAAGAGAAAAGAAAATATATATATATATATATATATATATATATATATATATATATACATAAGTAAAAATAGAAATAAAAGTAAAACAAACATCTTAGATAAAACATACCTATATACATTATTTATAATTAGCCAGGTGATCTCCAAACCAATCTTGTCCCCTCCACATGTGGAGGGAAAAGGGAGGCTTAGGAGATCCCTACGCTTCTCCCTCAGCCACTTCACTGGTATTTAAAACCAGCGGTGGATGAGTTAGAGCGCCACAGCCACACTCATGACTTGAGTGGAGAATCTGGCCATTGCTAGAACTCCAAAACCCATTGATAACTAAAATAGAATTTTGCCGTTTGTCTACTAGACCCTTTTACTTTTTTCACTACTTTTAAGAATAATTATCTATTTATCTATTTGATTTTTAAAAATTTTTGTTGCAGCTGTGAAAGTGAGCAGAGGCAACCTGCTGGACAGCACAATAATGATTTTTTCGGGAGATAATGAAGCTTATGGAGCACCAGTATTGTTCATTTATTTATATGTGTTATTGTTGTACTTTAGATTTATATATTCATGAGTCTTTCCTGATGTTGAAGGAATAAAGAGAATTGTTATAATAATTGTAACTCTTTGTTAGATTATTAAAAATAATTAATACAAATAATTATATTTTAACATATACAATTGAGGGCACTGGATTTAAAAGAACGATATATATATATATATATATATATATATATATGTTTTCAAAATTTCTTCAATCGGGTTTTGGGTATTATATTTTAACATGATTATTTAAATTGGGAATTAGGTCACTTAATAATTATTTAATAAACTACAAAATGTTCATTGGTCCTGCTGTTTATTCCATGTTTCGATCCCAGTTTTTTTTTTTAAGTTAATAATGGGATCAACGCTAGAACAACAAATAGCTCAATCGGTACACAATTAAGCTTCCATATGATTCAAATAACAATTATTTCGCAATTCAACCTAATTTTAAAATAGAGCCACGATACATCAGGCCAGGTGCACACCGACAGCCTAAGTACCGTCCACTAGCACAGATATTAAGCTACTGGGCCGCTAAGCGTCTGTCTACTCTGGTCCTGAGCCCGAAGGCAACATTTTCATACTAAACAATAAAAAATCCATCAATGTTACACAAAGTAATTGAAAAATGCATCCATGGTAAATATAAAAGCATCAAGAACATATCTAAAACAAATTTAGATATATTAAATATATTATTTACCATAATTTAGATTTAGATTATATATAGCTATTATATGTTATTTTCAACAACAAAAATAGCTTGTATGACAACTCTTGGTTATAAATTGAAGTATAAAAATTAATCAACATTAAATATTTATACATAATATAATAATATTATATACATATATATATATATATATATATATATATATATATATATATATATATATATATTATCAAACTATCTTTAAAATTGGTAAAAATATAAACAAATGTCAACTATTTAAAATATATATACACTAGTCATCTTATAAAATATTGTAAACATTATAAAATCATTAAACAATATTAAAAAAATCTAAATTATAAGTACCATTCTATAATTCTATTTTAACCCTCACCAAACAAATATAACATTAACAGATAACCAGCCCAAAAATCAAACGATATCTCTCGTCTAAATTATACCAATTTTAAAATGTTGCTATAGGCACAATTCAATATCGCCAAATCATTCCGCGTACTTATTACGATTTTGGTCCTTCCTATGTGGTGGATCATCTCTAAAATCAACCTTTTTTATTGATTCTTTTTCATGTCTAGTATCTTGACTTTATCAAACTCGATTTTATGATTATTCTTAATAGCATGAATGACCAAAGCCCTTGTCTGTTGCTGCTGTATTTGTTTGGTGAGGTTTAAAATACAATTAGAGAATGAGAACTATAGTTGAGCTTTTTTTATTTTTGTTTCATGATTTTATAATGTTGACAACATTTTATAAGATGGCTAGTGTATATATTTTTTAAGTAGTTGATATCCATTTATATTTTTAACAATTTTATATATAGTTTGATAGTATGTATATATATTTAATGTTAATTAATTTTGATACTTTAATTTATAACCAAGAGTTATTATATAAGCTACTTTTTTTTGTTGATATAGATATGTTCTTGTTGCTGTTATATTTAACATAGATACATTTTTTATTGTTTTGCATGTAATATTTTGCCTTCGAGCTCAGGACCAGGTTGGGCAGACGCTTAGTGGTCCAGTAGCTTAATATCTGTGCTGGTGGATACTTGGATGGTGCTGAGGCTGTCGGTGGTCCCTGGCCTGAGGTATCGAGACTCTATTTTAAAAGTAGGTTGAATTTTGAAATAATTGTTATTTGAAACATATGGAAGCATAATTGTGTACCAACTGAGATATTGGTGGTTCTAGCATTGAAGACGATCCCATTGTTAAATTTAAAAAAAAACCCATGGTCGAATAAACAGCAGGATCAATGAACATTTTGTAGTTTATTGAATAATTAATAAGTGACCTAATTCCCAATTTAAATAATTATGTTTATATATAAAACAGATCTAATATAGCACCTAAACTTTGCAACCCTTATGCCACTCATTAAAAATTATAACATCATCTTATTAGTAAAGTTGAATGATCATAAAATCATCATAGTTCCAATATATTCAATATAAGTAATCATTTGTTTAATAAAATAGTAGAAAGACATTTTAATTTTTTAGTAGATATTTTGTGTATTACAGATTTCTCTTTAGTATATATGTTAACTTAGTTACATCAGTATGAATGGCATAAACATCATTTAAATATTAATTGTTATCACAATAAGATAATTATAAAATAAGAAGATTGCAAAAATTCAACCAAGTATCAATAGAATTTGTATAATTGATATTGAATTTGCCAATAAAAATTTGTAACATTATAAAACTAGTCTATTGTTGCTTAGAAACTTGTTCAATGTTTAAGGAAAATATTGTATTTATTTAAGAGCGTAATCGTGATTAAAATATGTAAGCATTACCGAAAATTAAATAAGGTAAGATACTTTTACTAGTGTTTGTTGAATAAAACTATTGTTAATAAATTATTTGAGTATTTTATAAGATCATATTATGTATCCATAATGTAACTGATTAATTCCATAAATCAATTCAATTACCTACAGCCGTTGTACTCTCCTCTGCCACATCATTCAGTACTCATAAATGATTTAGTTATAGTGCTATAATAACGTTTTTGGTATATTATTTTTATAATACTAAAGTATTGTAAAAGTAATATATACAAATATTAATATAATAATTTAATTGTCCAACTCTTCTGCAGGAGGTAGATGAAGTGCACAGCTAGTGGGGATTTTTCTTTTTAATTCTTTATTAAGATATATTACAATCTGTCACATTTAAGGACAATAGTAATAGTGATAAATAGTAGCACATTTGCACTATGCACAATAAATAAACAGCAAAATAATAATACTAAAAGTAAATGTATATAAACTAAAAGATACTAAACTAAACAAAAAGAAACTAAACTACTTAAATACACACATGCTTTTATACAATATTTATTCATTCAAGGTCTCCGAACCAAGCACTCTAGGAGATCCCAGCGCCTCTCACTCAGCCGCATCACTGGTATTAAAGACTAGTGGAGGCTGAGCAGAGATGCTATAACCAAACATACATGACTTGAGTGGAAAATCTGGCCATTGCCAGAACTCCAGTATATTCTTACAACAGGTTACTGGGCCAGTGCAGCTTCAACCTTCGAGGTGTATTGTAGGGATCACTAGAGCTAGAGAGGGATTGTGCAAATAGATTTGGATAATATGAAAGGCTTTAATGGAATTTGGAAAAATTTTCAGTGATAAGGTCTAGGATAAATGGGATGATTAAGTTCATGGTGTAGGGTTTGGTTTGTTATTTAGAACGGAGCATCAACTATTGTTGGAAGAAGTATGGACTGAAAGGATTGATGATGGAAAATCTTGCTGTCCACCACCATTCCAGTCTGTACTTCCAAATAGATTTCAGTATTGTCTTGTAGATCAGTAGTTTGTTGTCAGTTGAAAGTTGAGATTTTCTGTTCAGTAGTCTATATAGCTGGTCATATCATCGGTTGAGTTCTTGTCTTTTAAGTCTAGCAAGTGGATTTCATGTTAGTCTTCGGTCTAAGAGAAAGCCAAGATACCGGACTGTGTCTGAGTAAGGAAGCTAGCTAGATGGAATTGAAGTGTACTGGTGGACAGGAATTGCTTCGAAGAGTAAAGTTGATATGTTTGAATTTCGACTCGTTTTCACTTTAATGCGCCATTCATCGCACCAGTGCTCAATCAGTGCGACGTGCCTTTGTAGATTTAATGATACTTTTTCAGGATCTGAGTTGGATGATAGGATTGCGTTGATATCAGCAAATGTTGGAAGGAAGGTATCGGAATGAACAGGGATGTCAGCGGTAAAGAGGATGTAAAGCACGTGGCCCAAGAAGCTGTCAGGGGGAACACCGGCTTTAATTGAGTAGATCTCGGAAAATTCTGTTCCACAGCGTACTCGAAATGAACAGTCAGAGATATAGGATCGAAGTACTGAGGGAGATGGATTTTAAAGCCTTCCATATCATCCAAATATATTTGCACAATCCCTCTCTAGCTCTAGCGATCCTTACAATCTTCCCCGAAGGTTGAAGCTGCAGTGACCTGTTGTAAGAATATATTGGAGTTTTGGCAATGGCCAGATTCCCCACTCAAGCCATTTATGTTTGGTTATAGCGCCTCTGCTCAGCCTCCACTAGTCCTTAATACAAGTGATGCGGCTGAGTGAGAGACGCGATCTCCTAGAGTCCTGTCTTTCCTTCCACGAGATGTGGAAAAGGCTTGGCTTTCCCCCACATTTCCCCCATAGACCTATTAACCGCTGTAATGAAATCTCACACCGATTCCATGGGACCAGATGTCATTCCTGTCAAATTGATAAAATTATATCCCTGAAATCCTCCCAATTCTCCTTTTCAAATACAATTTCTCCCTACAGAACTCAATATTCTCTTCCTTTTGGAAAAAAAAAATTCCATTGTCCTCCCTTTAAATAAAAAGCGTAATCCATCCTCCCCCGAAAAATTAATCTCAATTCTTTCCAATCTCTCAAAACTCCTAGAAAGATTAGTGCAATCCCAAGTTTCCAATTTCCTTGAAAAATCCAACCAACTTGATCCTCTCCAATCTGGTTTTCGTTCCGGCTACTCCACACAACCCTCCTTAATTAAAATTACTAATGATGTTCAGACTGCAATAGATAATAAACAATGAACTGTCCTTATACTTCTTGACTTCTTCAAAGCCTTTGATTCCATTAACCATTCCATCCTATTCAACAAAATAAAATCATTGTTATTCTCCAATGGCTCCATTTCTTGGTTGGAATATTTCCTCTCACAACGTACCGAAGCAGTCTCCATACCTAATA